TGATCCATTTATGTACTTTTTGGGGTTTTGAGCGTTGTCTGGTGCATAGTTGTTTTGAGCTACATGTTTATGTTATGAATTTGCAATTTAATTATGACGAATGACTAAGGTGTATTTTAGGTGCTCACCAATTTTCCATAAGCGCGTAGTATTACTCTTGTCAGTGATTGTTTTTGCTATATACCTTGACTATATACCTTATTACACTGCCATAACTGTCAATGAGACCTTCTTGCTGTAATGTAATCTCATCACCTTCACAGTGTCCTCGTCTTCAAACACCTATCCCTCCAAACAGCAAACAATTACCCACAGAAACTTTCACAACTTGAACCCTGCTCCTTTCCACTTTGCAACTGACCAACTCTATGACAGAATTGCTCCCCTGTCCTGCCCTGACCTGGCCACTACTGTCTACAACAGTTCGCTTTCATCCGCATTAGACTCACTTAGACTCACTTGCAAACTTGGCAGACTGACGACACCAGAAATCTTAAACAACATAGTCGTGTGCTGGAGCGATTGTGGAGTAAAACCAAATCCCAGCAAGCATTCACCCGATTTAAATCTGCTTTCTTAACATACAATTCCTCCCTTCATGCTGCCAAACAAGCCTACTTTGTCACTTTTATTAATACCTTGTCATCCAGTCCTCATCGTCTCTTCTCTACTTTTAACTCTCTACTTTCTCTACCTCCACCCAGTACCTCACTCACTGCTCACGAGATTGCAAATCATTTAAAAAACAAGATTGACGCAATTCGTAAGGGCATCGCCACTGCACAGACATCCATCCCACTTAGCATACCTTATACTAAACCTCCCTCAACGCTTTCCTCTTTTGACCTTGCTACTACCGAAGAGGTCACTAAGGTTTTCTCAGAAGCCCGTCTCACTACCTGCCCCCTGGATCCTGTCCCCTTACAACTACTACGGTCACCCTTCCATCCTATGCTCCCTCACTCACATCTTAAATCTTTCCCTCTCTACTGGTGCCTTCCCCTCCCATCTAAAGCATGCGTACATCACTCCCATACTTAAAAAGCCCTCCGTGGACCCCACCAACCTGAACAACTTAAGACCCATCTCCCTGCTGCCATTTACCTCTAAACTCCTAGAACGCTTAGTCTACAATCGCCTGAGCTCCCACCTCACCAACAACAACCTTCCTGACCCTTTACAGTCTGGTTTTCTCTCACTACACTCCACTGAAACTGCCCTACTAAAACTCACTAATGATCTACTAACAGCTAAAACCAATGGCCACTACTCCATACTCTTACTACTTGACCTCTCTGCGGCTTTTGATACGTTTGACCATCCCCTCCTTCTCAAAAAACTCCACTCTCTTGGTCTCAGAGACTCTGCTCTCTCCTGGTTCTCCTACCTATCGTAGCGCTCCTTCAGCGTTACCTATAACGCCGCCTTCTCCTCTTTACTCTCTCTTTCTGTTGGGGTCCCTCAAGGTTCTGTCCTTGGACCCATTCTCTTCTCCATCTACACCTCCTCCCTTGGTCACTTGATAAACTCCCATGCCTTAAAGTACCATCTCTATGCTGATGACACACAATCTATCTTTTTACCCCTCACCTCACCCCTTCAGTCTCCTCTCACATTACGAATCTACTAAGCGACATATCGGCATGGATGTCACTCCACTTCCTGAAACTCAATCTTTCCAAAACTGAGCTTTTAGTATTCCCCCCAGCCCATGCCCCCTCCCCTCACTTCTCCATCAAGATCAATAACACAATCATCATCCCCTGCCCTCATGCCAGGGTGCTAGGTGTAATCCTAGACTCCCACTAAGCAACTTATTCACTCCCTTGTTATATCTCGTCTTGACTATTGTAACTCCCTCCTCATTGGCCTACCTAATCGCAGGCTATCCCCTCTTCAGTCTATCATGAATGCTGCTGTCAGACTTATCCACCTTACTAACCATTCTGTATCTGCCACCCCTGTCTGCCAATCCCTCCACTGGCTTCCTATTGCCAACGGATAAAATTCAAAACATTAACAATAACGTATAAAGCCATTTATAACTCTGCCCCAAATTACAGCAATGATCTTGTCTCTAAATATCACCCAAACTGTACTCTTCACTACTCGCAAGACCTCCTGCTCTCTTGTCTCCTCCTCCCATGTTCATCTCCAGGACTTTTCCAGAGCTTCCCCCGTCTTCTGGAACTCTCTACCCCAATTTATCAGACTATCGCCTACTCTGCTCACTTTTAGGCAATCTCTGAAAACCTATCTCTTCAGGGAAGCCTATCCTGCCCTCAGCTAATAATGGAATCTTCTACTCTTCCAACCAGTCCATCCCCCGCAGTTACTACCTTTGTACCACTAGCCCCTCCCTCCTAGATTGTAATCTCCAAGGAGCAGGGCCCTCCTTTCCCTCTTGTATTGAACTGTATTGTTGCTGTATTGTCTTCCGTTATATTGTAAAGCGCTGAGCAAACTGTTGGTGCTATATAAATCCTCTATAATAATAATAATATAATAATAATGTAAATTACAAGGAAGTGGTATAACTGCTCCTATTGACTGCTGCAGATGCATCAATTCCATTGCCAACATTCCAAAAGCATTATTAATGCTGATTATATCCAAAACTTTAGTATTTGTATTTCATGTACAAAACATTAAAGTGCACTTTTGGTGTCTTGAGTATTGCTTGTATACATCTGCACCAGCTTGAGCTTGTCTTTAATGTACTGTATAGAGGTGAGTTGATGCTACTTCCAACGGCTGCAGTTATTCATGGCTCTAGGGCCCAAGTTCTCAACCCTTTGGTATATGATGTGCAGCCCTCAGACCTCAGCAGTCTGTAGTCGGGACATTCATTAGGGGAAGAACATTGATCTCTAGCCTCATGTAACTTGTTTCATAGTTTTGTGTTGTGTTCTTCAGCATATCCCCAGGTAAAAATGTATCCTTTCCACCCTCTCTGACCCTCATTTCCTCTATTAGGTCTGCAATTTCTGACAGTCCTCTCAAGCGTTACTTATATTGACCATTACACAAGGCACTCTGGTGATGTCAGAGGGCACATTTGAGGCCCCCTTTAGGTCTTAAGTTGGCAACCACTGGTCTAGGGTATTGAAATTGGGTAACAAGTGTAGCAGTGTATACAGTAAAAGACAGGCAAGAGAAGTACAGGTATTAAAATGGTATTAAGCCCAATTCAACAAAAATTAAATATATTTGAGCTTACCAATCATTAAAGTGTTACTAAACCAAGGACCCTGCATTCGCTATATCCAATCTTCCACAGTACACCAAACATAGAAATGCAATTGTTTTAGTAAATATAAACTGCTAAATACATTTTCTCATCAGCAGTATATAGCAGTCTTGTGACGTCTATCAGTGTCCGGTTGAGTACTGGTTAATCTTGCAGGAGTTTTCATTCTCCTCTGACTGTCCTATAAGTCTGCATGACCCCTGACTCTCTGTCCAGACAGTGCTGATTAGCCCTGTAATAATCACATGCACCCCCTCCCCCTCCAAAAAAAACCTCTCTGGAGTGGCACCCTTCTAGGTAGCTAGGGGGAGCTCTAGCTTCAATTGTTAGTTAGAGGCTGAGTAGCAACCTGGGTGTGATAGCTAGGTGAGTCAAATTTAGGTCAGAACTGAGAGGCTCTAGGGCTTTGGAGAAAGATCTAGAAGCAGTGGGCAGAGGTGAAGAGTGACTGGTCTGTACTCTTAGAGGATCCTGGCCAATCCCCAACAGGAGGTTTGGCAAGGGGTCAGGACAGCCTTTATGAGTAACTGAGCCTGCTCAGCAACATGAGAGTTGGAGGAGAGTTCAGGTTGAAGAGGAGGATATGAAGCTGGAGAGCAGGAACCTGGGAGGTGGCTCAGATGGGAGAGGGGCTCACTTCCAGGCAGGAGTACCTTGGAAGGAGGAAAGCTTGGAACTTCCCCAGCCCCCTAAGAGAGGACAACCTGTGTATCAGGGAAGGAGTGGCCCAGCCAGAAGGCTTGGTAGCAGCCACTGGCAACACAGGAAAAGGACTAAGTGAGTACACCTGCACCCCCTGGGCCAAATAGGGGAAGGAGCACTCTGGTGGGAAACCAGATTAACAACTACCCGGGACTGTCTTACTGTCTTATAGCTGGATGAGAGAAATATACATCTGGGTTCTGGGGTGGTACAACCAGAGACGCTGCCTAGCTCTCCAACAGAGACTGTTTTGCTGTAAAAACTTGTATATACTTGCTCCCCTACACCCCTAAACCTATCCAAGTTTTAATTGCCATAGTAAAACTTCAAAACAAGCTCAAGAACAGGTTATTGTCTCCTATATGCAACTTCATGTGGAAGTGTGTGTTGCCTCGCTGTGCAGGATTACAGGGGGACCCAAAACTTCAGTAACTCCTAAGGGGGTAGTGCTACACTAGCAATACACACCAAACAGTGCATGCGCAGACTTGCCACTGCTGCTCTATACTATGGCAGATAGATTGGGAACAGTAAAAGAAGAGGAGGATGTCACTCTATGGCAGAATACATGTGATATAGCTCCGCCCCTAGCTCCACCCACAGGACCTGTTTAAATTTATAAAAAGAATGTTAGAGCAACCTCCCCTATTCTACATCAAAATATCAAGATAAAGAGGGAGGGATCATATGCTGCCATGGATTGGCATCAGGAAAGGAAATGTACTTTTCTGTATTTGATGCAATTTTCCGTTTTCCTGACACCAACATGTCAGCATACATGCGATACATGATCGAATCTAAACAGGGAGGGCTCATGATGCCAATTCAACTTTACCTAACAATAGACATGGAGGCCTGAACTGTCTTCCTCCCAAACTCCACAGTCATGAGAGAATAGGGGCGGTTGCTCTAGTGTTCTTTTTATAGATTGAAACAGATCCTATGGATGGAGATGGGGGGAGCTATATCAAATATATGCTGCCATGTTGGCATCATGAAAAAAAAAACTGTTGCTGTAACTGCTTAAAAAGTGTTACTAAACCCCCAACAGTATATGGAATAAAGCATGCTTGTTATCCTCACTGTGGAACCACTGTGGAATCCCTTCATTGTGTAAAAAGGCAGTTTGATCCTGTCTTCTCCACTCCTCCTCTTGTTTAAATGTCCACATCTTATCTCCTGATAAGACAGACTGAACCCGTAGCCAATCTGCACATGCTCAGTTTAGTATGTATTGCTAGAGAGGAGGTTTTTTTTTTTCTTGGGAGAGTGCATGTGATCAGCACAAGGACAATCAGCACTGTCCAGACAGAGGTCAGGGGTTCTGCATCCTCGTAGAGCAGAAAATAAACTCCTCCTACAGCCTTTAACCAGTGCTCTGCTGGACACTGATAGAAGTCACAAGACTGATCTAACTGCTGATGATAAAAGGTATTTAGCAGTTTATATTTACTAAAATAACTGCACTTCCATGTTCTGTGTACTGTGGGAGACCAGATAGAGGGAATGCAGGGTCCCGGGTTTAGTAACACTTTAACTGGAGTTCAATTTTGATTTGTTAGTCAAGTTCTTTAAATCTTCTGGTGCATCTAAAACTACCCTCTCCCCAGACTGACAATACTGCTGACCAAAGGTGTCTCTGCACTCTCCAGTTTAGTAAATCAACCATAATACATGAAGTTATTGAATTTTGTTGCTCTATCAGTCAAAGAATGTATGTGAAAGAACAAGGCAATGATCAGATAGAAACCAACCACAGTCATATAAAATGTTGTCACAGTGTAGGTGAGGTGAAATGGACAGAAACAGGGGCAGACTGACAACTCATGGGGCCCTTGGGCAACAGGGGATCATGGGGCCCCAGTGTCCTTGCCCAAACTCAAAAAAGCCTATGATAAAGTTACCAGGGGCATCTCATGGGGCCCCCTACTGACCCCGGGCCCTCGGGCAGTGCCTGAGTTTCCAAATGGTTAGTCCGCCCTGATCCAGAGTGGAGACACCCTAAAGCCTAAGGCCTGCTTCATGCCTATGTTTTTTACAGAAACGCACTGCAGTCCCATTTTTTTAGTTACATAATTAGTCTGGCTGAAAAAAGGTGAGGAGGGTAGGTGATAGTGTGATGGATTGGGGTAGGGAGTTCCAGAGGATAGGGGAAGCCCTGGAGAAGTCCTGGAGGTGGGCATGGGAGGAGGAGACCAGGGAACTAGAGAGTAGGAGGTCTTGTGAGGAGCGAAGAGTACGTTTTGGGTGGTATTTGGATATCAGGTCGGTGATGTAGTTTGGGGCAGTGTTATGAACAGCTTTGTACGTCAGTGTTAGCATTTGAATTTTATCCGTTGGGCAATTGGAAGCCAGTGGAGGGATTGGCAGAAGGGGGTGGCGGATACGGAGCGGTTGGTAAGGTGGATGAGTCTGACCGCAGAATTCAGGATAGACTGAAGCGGGGATAGCCTGCGATGAGGTAAGCCGGAGAGGAGGGAGTTGCAGTAGTCGAGTCGTGATATGATAAGGGAGTGAATGAGTTGCTTTGTAGTTTCTGGAGTTCGGAACGAACGTATTTGGGAGATGCTGCGGAGGTGGAGTCTGCATGAATTTGTCAGCGATTGGATCTGGGGCTGGAAAGACAGATTGGAGTCTAGAATGACACCTAGTACTCTGGCTTGTGGGGTGGGGCTGATGGTGGCATTGTTGGTCGTGATGGAGAAGTCAGGGGGGGGGGGGGGCAGGCTGGGGGGAAAACTAGGAGCTCGGTTTTGGAAAGGTTTAATTTGAGGAAGTAGAGCGACATCCAATCTGAAATGTCGTTCAGTAGGCGGGTGATTCGGGCAGAGACTGAAGGGGTGAGGTGAAGGGTAGAGAGATAGATTTGTGTGTCGTAGGCATAGAGGTGATAGTTGAAGCCGTGGGAGTGTATCAGGTTGCCAAGGGAGGTGGTGTAGATGGAGAAGAGAAGGGGGCCCGAGGACAGAACCTTGAGGGACCCCAACAGAGAGGGGGAGTGAGGGGGAGGTGGCAGCGTTATAGGTAACACTGAAGGAGCGTTGTGAAAGATAGGAAGAGAGACAGGAGAGAGGTTGCATCAAAGTAGTGCAGGAACATTTTAAATGTTTAAAGGTTCCTGTACTACTTTGAGTACCAGAGAGTCGCATCAAAGTTGCACTCAACGCTTTCCTATTGGCAAAAAAAGCAACACACATCAAAACCCCCTGGAAGAATGCATCAATCACAACACACATAGGTGTGAACGGGGTCTAAGGCCCTATTCACACCTGAGCTTTTTGCAGCGCGAAGCTCCAAAACGCTTAGGGAGGAAAAAAATATCTCTATGGAGATGGTTCACATCACCACTTCAAGTCACCTGCAGCAGAACGCCTGAAGCTCCAAAAAGTTCTGGATCTACTTTTGTAGCTCCATTCAGGCAGATTGATGCATTTTTGGCATGTTTTTATCCCCATAGAAATAAATGGAAACGCGCAAATTGTGCTTTTTGTCACACAACCAAGCGTGTTTTTTCTCGCACTACAAAACATGGCAACAATTGATGTCCCAGATGAAATTCTTCTCTGTTGGCTAATGCAAAAGTGCCAGAGCACAAAAAGCCTGAAAATGCCTGAACAAAACGCGCACAAACGTTTGCAAACGTGCATAAAAACACACAAAAAATGCTGAGAAACGCTACGCTCTGATGTGAATGGAGCCTAAGACAGGGCGTGTGTTACTGGCCAGATCAGCAGGTGAAAAGAATGGAAAAAAAGCATAAAAAAAAGGGTGCACCATATCCAAGAATTGGTAAACTGCAATATAATACTTTTTTGTTTTGGGGTCAGGGGCGGCCTGACCATTGGTGCACTGCCCGAGGGCCCGGGGTCAGTACCCTATGAGATGTCCCTGGTACCTTTCATAGGCTTTTTTGGGTGTGGTTTGAGTATGGGCGAGGACACAGGGGCCCCATGATCCCCTATTGCCCGGAGGCCCCATGAGTTGTCAGTCCGCCCCTGTTTGGGGTATTATATTATTATTGAATATAGCAGTGAAATCCCTGCGCTACCTCAATAATGAGAGAGAGGACAAAAAAAACACAGCAAAACGCACACAAGCAGAAAGGAAAATAAAAATAGTGTGATGATAGTGGCTGCTGCTAACATCAAATTGTGTTCCCACAATAGTAAAGCAAAATAAAAATAAATATGTGATGCAGAGTTACATCACTTATTTATTTATAAAATTATTATTATTTTATTTTATTATTTTATTATTATTATAATTTTATTATTATTATTCCTATCCTAACCCCAGAAACCACTAAACAGCTCATCCACTCCCTCATCATATCACGACTCGATTACTGCAACTCCCTCCTCACTGGCCTGCCTCGCCGCTGGCTATCCCCGCTTCAGTCGATCCTGAATACGGCTGCCAGACTCATTCACCTTTCCACCCGCTCCGTTTCCGCCACCCCCCTCTGCCAATCCCTCCACTGGCTTCCGATCGCGCAACGGATCAAATTCAAAATCCTAACACTGACGTACAAAGCTGTCCACCATACTGCCCCGAACTACATCACTGACCTAATATCCAAGTACCACCCAACACGCACACTCCGCTCCTCACAAGACCTCCTTTTCTCTAGTTCCCTGGTCTCCTCCTCCCATGCCAACCTCCAGGACTTCTCCAGGGTGTCACCCATCCTCTGGAACTCCCTGCCCCAACCCATCAGATTATCACCTACTCTCCTCTCCTTTAGGCGCACCCTGAAAACCCATCTCTTCAGGGAAGCCTACCCCACCCCCTGCTAACTTGCCGACCTCCTCCACTCTTCCTACCACTCCATCCCCCACAGCTTTCTCCTCCTGTACCACCATCCCCTCCCTCCTAGATTGTAAGCTCGAAAGAGCAGGGCCCTCGATCCCCTCATGTTTTGCATTGTATTGGTATTGTTCTGTCACATGTTCTGTCCTCCTTTGTAATGTACAGCGCTGAGCGAACTATTGGTGCTTTATAAATACTGTATAATAATAATAATAATTATTATTATTATTATTATTATTATTAAACAGGATTTATATAGCGCCAACAGTTTGAGCAGAGCTTTGCAATATGAAGGTAGACGTTACATTTACAGTACATTTTAGTACAGAAGGAATAGGACAGCCTTGCTCGTGGAGCTTACAATCTAAAGTTGCTTTAAGCAGCTGGATGGTGGTGATGGGATTCTATACAACATCTGTGGAGCCAGTCCTGTTTGTTCCAGAAAGGACTTGAGGACTCAGAGAGCTATGCAGTCCAAAAGCTTCTGCAGGATTTATTTATTTTAATAAAATTCCTCGTCCCCTGGCTGGGGAATACAGCATCTGCGCATCATTCTCGGAAAGTGAAAGATTGTTCAATTCAGCTTCCAGACTCCTTCCCATCGAAGACAATTAAACATCATTCAAATCACTTCCTCCGCACAAAAGTAAAAAGCGTTGTATCTTTGCGATTAGCTGGCGCCATCGGGGAAAATGTTTCGACACACGGCAAAGGATGTCTGTCACGTTGCTCCATGAATCTCCCCCACACAACCAGCGTATTCCTAGCAGATGGTACACTGTGACTTCCCAGCTGTTTCTTTATCTGCTGTTCACACAGGACACTTATTAAAAGTGATATACTCAGCAAAGTCCGAGCCTGCAATGCTTCTTCTCCTTATATTTAGCTTCTGTTTTATTGCCTGACACATTCATTTAGGTGTCGCGCCACCCAGAGCGCTTACATTTATTTATACTATTGTAAAGCAGCTTCTCGATAAAATCCTTAGGTTGGCGGTAATCAAAATCTGTAATTCTCATTAGGCTATTATATTACTATATGTTACATTCAGGGGCGGACTGACAACTCATGGGGCCCCCGGGCAATAGGGGATCATGGGGCCCCTGTGTCCTTGCCCAAACTCAAAAAAGCCTATGGAAAAGGTACCAGGGGCATCTCATGGGGCCCCCTACTGACCCCGGGCCCTCGGGTAGTGCCGAGTTTCCAAATGGTCAGTCCGCCCCTGGTTACATTCTAACAACTTTGAAAAAGTTAAATAATAATAACAATAATAATAATGACTGTACCAAAAGTAATGCAAACATTAGCATAACATTTGTATTGTCCCCTCCCTCTTAGATTGTAAGCTCCCAGGATCAGGCCATCCTAACCCTCTTGTATTGAACTGTATTGTTGCTGTATTGTCTCCCGTTATATTGTAAAGTGCTGAGCAAAAACTGTTGGCGCTATATACAGTGGGGATCGAAAGCTTTTGGGCACCCCAGCTTACAAAAAATTTGTATTAATGTGCATAAAGAAGCCAAGGAAAGATGGA